GTTAGCGCAGACTACCGAGTGTCATAACAGTATTATCGTAATAAGAGCAGTGAAAAACGTTTAGAAATAAAAGTTAGTCATAATTTCTCAAAAACATTTTGGAAATGATCAGCAACTGGTCAAACTGTAATTTCATCTACTACTTTGTCAACAAAAAAAAAGATTCATAGCACCTAAACACGATGCACAGATTTATTTTTGTGTACTAAACAACAAGGCACACCAGGTGTGAGTACACCATGCCCAGTTGAAAATAGACGGAGTGGAATTTGAATTCTAGAACATGCTCATCAACAGTTCCAACGTTTAAGTGCAGTTAAAACAAGAGTTTATACAAACTACCTTCTGATCCCATGTAGAAACTCAACTAACAAGTTCAAAACAAAAGCTTATAAATATGTAAGCCAACAAAGTGATATCATTGATACACTGCAGCAAGCTGCAATAGCAAGTTTTCTGACAAACCGAAGATAACAGAATCGAATACAAGTACAAAACCTATAAAATGCTGGATGATATATGTCAGCTACGTTGGTGCTGACAATGTATAGTCTGTTTGCAAAATACGAGATGATTAGAAAATGACAGTCTATAAGACAAGAGTAAGCAAATTTAAAAAAAATTCTACTACGTAAGTGAATAGAAATGCTATTATTTATTGAACTCTTTCTATGGATGTCATCATAGTAATAAGGATAAATAGTGATTACAATTAATAAATATATCTTCATTTTAAGTTTACTCCTTTCACTTGAATACAGGAAATCGAAGGTATGCGTCTATCCTTTGACCTAATATTTCGAGTTTATGAGAAAGGATTAAATGGAGTAAACAACAATTCTTGTACTTAATTGATAGGATCCCGCATAAAGCAGTGTATAATCGTCCCTCACGCACGTTGTGATTAATTACGCGATCAATCATTTCTCATGGCTGTGAGGCCGACTTTATTGTTGTAAAGAAAATGTATAAATACCATGTTGTTGTGATTACAATATACAATCACAGACCAGCCTTTGTTTTTTGATATTTGCGTGGCTCAGTGAATTGGAACGTACCACAGGCAGATAGGCATATTAGGCAGGCGCAGACAGAACAAAGTGACTACGGTTCTCATTCAGTTCAGTATAACATTATATAACATTAATAGAATAAATACCAATCAGTTAAAATGTTAAAAAGAGTGCCAAAATATCTAAAATGAGACCATATAATCCATAATCCAACATTAACCCCACGAATATTTGCGAGCATTATAAGACATTCAATCACCTCTGTTTAAGTTGATTCAGTAAAAAAATAAGATAAAGGCAACGCGTGTGTATCTACCAGAAAACATGTGTGAGTATACGAAAAACAGGAATGGATGATGTGTCTGGCGAACTTAGGAGTTATACGGTATCCAACGCGGTGGGTTAGTCGAACGAAAGATGGATAAACCAACATCAACTCAGGTGGAAGGGACATGTTTAACACACACGCTTATTGTCTATTTTAATGCTCTGTGTTAGTGGACGTTTGTGTGGGAATAATAGTACTGATGCATTGGACTACTCAACTGATATGCTAAATACGCTAATTCGAGCGTGGTAACCTTCCGCTTCGCTGAGTCATGTAAATATCAAAAGACAAAGACTGGCTTGTGATTGTTAGGATTCGATTTTTTATTTAAGATATAAACACGTCATATTTATACATTTTTTATCACATTAAAATCTGCCCATGGAAGTGAGAACAGATAGTTCTGACTGGTTGTCGATTTGACCAAGACCCGAGATAAGAAAAAGATGACGAAATTTTACGGTCATCCGATCACACAATAAATCATAAGATGATTACTATTTTAAGCCAATTCCTGAGAGTCATCAAGCAAAGATACCATCTTACTTAAATACCGGTGTAAATGTACAGTGTGAATTAAAACTCACTATCAGTAACACAATCAATCGAACTAACTTTGTTAACAGACTAATCATTCATGATGATAATAAAATGAATCACACACACTGTGTGACATGAAAATAATGTGTTAAAATACCATTGGAAAAAACCCTGAAGTACACATCTTACCGTAGGTTTCCCGCTTTCACTTAACGGCTTCTTCTACACAAAAAAGAATACAGAACAAGGTAAACAATTAGTCCCATGATGGGAAAAACCTTTAACAAAATATTAATTGACCGACGACCAGTAAGCAAGTTTAGAACAAATTACCTTGATATTAGTAGTTCCCCATGTTGGTTGACCGCCCAAACTTGAAGCTAGATTTGACAAAGTACTATCCAAGGCATCGAGAGGATTTTTATTCTGAGAAGCAGTTACAACAGCTGGGCGAATAGGAACAGTTGCGGGCACGGGCTTCAAGCCTACAGAACAGTATTCCAAAAGAGACAGACGTTTAGGAAATCAGAAAAAGGAAAATCAACTAATTAAGAGTAGAAACATCCATCAGATATACATGTATACAAGAGAAGTTACGTTTCTGATGGAAAACAATGAAAAAGGAGCAGCTTTATACCGAGGTTGTAAACACCATCTGACGATATGGCAAATATCATCAGGTGTGAAGACCAATTACTGAACCAAGGAAAGCCAAAGAACAATGGGCAATAATTTCACCTACCTCATGTATATATATATATATATATATATATATATGTATTATTCGTTAATACGTTCAGCTAGCAGTTACTCCTTCGTAAGTTTTCTTTTTATTTGATAGATGCATTGGCATTTATTACTTTTGGTAACTGCACTACTTTAACATTCCATAAACACCTAATATTTGTGCGAAGTCACTCCTTTTCCATACATAGTGATGAAGACTGTACTGTCAACAGAGATAGTGGGAACCAAGATATTAGCACATAACTGATGTGTACCCGTCGCTAATTTTGATATGATCATTAATACACTTGGTGATTGTGCCAACGAATTCCTTGTCTAGTCCATTCGCAAGCCTATTGTTCTAACCAATATTAGCAACAACAATGACACCACGATACTATACCACTGGAAATGCGACGGAAGAAGACACGAAGAAACGAGACTGTTGACGTATAGAGTTTTTACTTTCTCGTATCAACAGCACTTGCGTATATAGGCTTTAAATGACCTGAAAGAGACACTAATTACATTGAAAAATCAAAACAGTCAACAAACAATAGCATTTCAGAAGTCATAAGTGGGGTGAGAGAAAATTAGGTCTAAAAATCAATAAGTGGGGTGAGAGATATACAAACAGACATCAAAGTGACATGTAGAAAATTAGGTATTTATATATCCGTAACCCAAATAGTACCACTTGAGGATATTGATCATGCCACCAGAACGACAATTCTGCCATAATCTCATTTTATCGTTATTCCTAAAATCATAAACCAGCAGCGCAACGAGACCACACTAATTGAATCACAACCCAACAAACACTCCCATTATACCAGAATAGAATGGTCAGAAAGTTGCGGAGCAAATGAAATCCCGCTAGTTTTGGAATCTGCTTCAGTTGAGAACAGATAAGCTTACTTAATTGGTGGACGGTGACTAGCAGTGGAATCCAGGATGCGCATTTCGTCCTATTTGGGACTCGTCAGTTGGATGTACCTGCATTTCTCAGTGAGTGATGATTATGTTCCCACCGAGGCTCGAACCCAGTGGCCACGGTTTCAAACGCCAAAATTCAATTAAAGATAAGCTTACTCTTGTCTAATATTGTTAAACATTTATAGGCTGATCGTCACCATAAAACTGTTTTCTAGTTACTTGAATAACACTCTTATCGAACTCATCAACCTTATCCGAGATGGTCTTTTGCAAGACAACGTCATGAAACTTGGTGAAGACATTGCTCCGAAAAAAATGCACTTTCATTGTGTAAACCACCAGTTCCGTTTGCATATTACCCTTCTCCTGTCTAACTACCGTAGGAATCTGACAGGATTTGTGTGCGTCGGTGGCACAGCGGTTAGGACTCTTGCTGACCATGCACATGGTCCGGGGCTCGATCCCCTGCCGACGCACACCCGATATCAATGGTCGGCCTGCTAAATTTGGGCTACTGATATCACATGCTGAAAATTCCATAGTTGTACCAAAATACTGTGTGGAATCAAGCTATAATAAGTAAAACTCACTAAATTTCCTGGTTGGATGCCTCTATATGCAAAACGAAGCTTGATCCATTCAATGAGTCACCAAATCAGCAACATTCGAAGACCTTACACTATGGAAGAAGAGCTGAAAACTCTCAGAAGAATCCCTCTTGAAAATGACCACACTGAAAATTTCATCACAAAATCTGTGAAGACTAAACCTCTAAAACTGCACACAGTTTGTGCTCCCCAAAATCTTCTCTACTTGAATCTACAATTAACTGGCGGCTCATCGGCAGAAATACTAAGAAACCGCCTGGCCCATTCATGAAAGAAAGTCTTCACGGCCGAACTTAAATTATAGATAAAATTTTATTTTGATAAATCACACAGTGTTGTTATACAGTAATATTTACTGATGAAGTTCCGAGCACAAACCACTGCTCATAATCATATCAAGTCACTCACACAACTTTTTCGCTTCATTTTTATATATATGATTAAAATTGATTAGACATTTGAATATATCAAAATAAGATAAAGTACATTTAGAAATAATATTAGCGCTATCAATAAAATACAATCAGATGGGAAATCAGATGTTTTTATAGTAAAAAATAAGTAACTTGTTAGAATGTTATGATGTGAATTGAATACATTTTAACATTATTTATTATCCTCCTCTGATTTAACTGATGGTAATAATATTGTAACAACAGAAGACAAGGGCCAGGCAACAGATCGTTTATTAAGGAAAATCAACACATATTTATAGAATATAATGTACATTATTGTAGATTATTGTCAATACAAAATACAGTCTTTTGATTGGTTGTTTCTCACAGAAAGTTAACCTCGCATCTCTTTGTGGCTGTGTCAGATCATCTATATGCTAATTGTATCTGCCTACGCGAAGCCTTTGTTCTCATTTTCTCACCACCAATATCGGGGACATAAACACTGACGTCAATTACTGTCTACCAACTTTGGCTAGCATCCAGCTCTCACCACAATATCTTCAATATCTCTGGTATTTGCATTGAATGTCCACTTTTTATTTAATGAGGAACTATATAGACAAATCGACGGTGTGGCAATGGGGTGACCGCTGGGACACATTCTAACCGAAATTTTCCTTGTGAAACTAGAAAATGGGCCTTTGAAGGATGTTATTAATGAACTCGAATTTTATTGTCGATAGATGGGTGATAATTTTTTGATTATGAAGAACGAAAAGGAGGCAAAGGACATCCTGGATAAATTTAATGAGGTACATCCTGCAATAAATTTTACTATTGAGAAAGAAAAGGAATCTAGTATTTCATTTTTAGACGTCCTTATGACCAGAAAAGAGGATAGCACAATAAGAAGAAGAAGTGTTTATAGAAAACCTACATCAACGGGCCAGTACACACATTTTCTCAGCTTTGTGCCCTTGAAATACAAACGCAATCTAATAAAGTGCTTGGTCAACAGAGTAAGAGAGATTTGCTCGGATGAATGTCTTGACGAGGAGCTTAACAATATTAAACGGTTGCTAAGTGAGAATGGTTATCCCGAAAAGTTTATTGATAAGAATATGAATCTAAAGCCAAAACAGTCCAAGTTACCAACAGTTCCAAAGAAAGCCTCGTTCTTACAGATGCAGTTCCTAGGAGACAACACAATTGAGATACTAACACATCGCCTCAGAAATGCAGTAAAAAGAGCATTCCCTGCTGCTCAATTACGCTGTATCTTCACAACCACTCCTCTTCTGCGTTCGGGAATAAAAGACAAACTGCCTAATTTCGCCTCTTCCATGTGTATATACCAATTTAACTGCTCCTGTGGAGCCAGTTACATAGGCCGTACAATTAGGCGTGTTTCTCGTCGAATTTCCGAACATCACCCTGCCTGGTTAAGCAAAGGTCAAACAAAATCTATTCGCAGTGCTATTCTGGCGCATCTTGTGGAGACAGAACACAAGATTGACGTTAATCATGCTTTCAGGGTCATTTACTGCATACCTACGAATCTCAATTTTGCTTTAAGAGTTCGACTTCTAAATATTGCTGAGGCTGTGGGGATTCATATTAATAAGCCTAATTTATGCACCCAAAAGAAGTTAGTTCAGTCATTATCATTACCTTGGCCATTCAGGTTTGAATAATCCAGAAATTTTGTGATATTTCCCTAATTTTAGTTGATATTCTATTCGCTGTTATAACTTTATTATTATTATGATTATTATTATTATTATTTAAGCATCTTTAATGAACAGCAATAGCATTGATCATACTTTACAAATCGATATTATTTAAAAAACGCTAATATTGTTATTGACTACTAATCTAGAATATTCTATGTATATAAACATATATGTATATAATTGTAGAGCCGGAAGAGGAATTTATCGAAAAGAATATTCTTTGCTCGATTATTTTGTGTTTCACAGTTTATTACTCATAATCATATCCAGTTGATGTATGGTGTCTCCAAACACCACCTCGAACTGTACAGGGCCTGGAGGACGAACAGTGATTTGATAAATGGTTTGCATTTAAACAGATGTTGCATAGTTTTTTCTCAAAAACGAATTTTAGACTTACACTAAGATCTTCGTCTTTAAGCTGCTGATATTGGTCTAAGAAATACTCTCCCAAACATAGTGTACGAGGTGAAACAAACAAACGTGACTCCTTAGAATAGCTAGTCAGATTTCCAATATTGGACTCTGAAAGTTGGGAAGCAGACACTTGGTATCTAGAGTCTGGGTTAGAGTTCTTCTTCGTGAGGATACCTAATCTCTTTATTGTCTCTTCGAGTGAGTTATCCTGTAACTAGCAATCTATACCTGGTGTTAGTAATATCTGACTGCTCCTTGACAAGTAAAGGGTAAATCACTAAACGACAGCTAGTGACCGTTCTTTATGATGTTCCAAGCAACTTTTACTTATCCTCGTTGTCAGTGGACAAGGAGTTTCAGGACTGGGTTTTTAATAGTTTTGCCGGAATCCAAATCCGAAATCTAATTTCATTTATTTCAGTGTTAGCTCCCATGATGCTTACATCCCATTAGACAGCTTCCTCAATAGTGATGTGTCACTTCCTCCTCCTATATTCAGGAAATTTAGAAGTTTGTCTATGAAGGTTCAGGCTACAACACGCTTTTGCCAGAATGTATGCTCTAACAATTCTAGGGATTTTTTTAACCATTTTCGTTATTCTAATGAAACACAATGATCGATAAGCTCCCTTTGCCTCTCCCTCACAATACTGAACCAAGTAATTCAACTCAGCCCGATACCCGATATCACCATTATCTACCCAATCTACGAAATTCTATATAAAATTCAAATTGTTTATAAGACTGTCATCAAGTTTAATAGTCTGTTCCTTAGGCATATATAAAACGTGAGACCATTGCCTGTGAAAACTCATCACTGGGAAGAATGCTAAGTATGTGTGGGACAGTAGGTTTGTAAGGCACCTTTGTTTTCAGCGTGAACTGACCGAGGCTTTTTGGATGTTATATCCATAGTCTTCCTTATTCTGTTTTCTTTATTACCGTTTCTTATCACCGGATTTTATGAATATTCAATTTTGATGGTAATTTCCAGTCCGTTCAATATTAATGTTGATGGCGGTGATTAGGGATGGCTGTATTCAAATATGTTACCACAGGTAAGTATGTATAGAAATATACGAATGTTTATACTCACCGGCAGGTAAACCACTAGCCACTGACCCGGGAGGATTGGCTGATTGTGGTTGAGAAGAAACAGGTGTAGCACTGGTATCATCTTTCGTCAGTAAAGGATCAAGTGATAACAAATCATCAATTGCTGCAACGAAGAAAAGCAAAAGTGAGGAATACTATGTCAGAATAGGATTTGAGACTACTGTTCTCAAACGATTTAAGATTTATACCGAACACTGGTTAAGGTTACCAAATGTGAAGACAAACGAGTTGCGGACGAAATTCAAGTGAGTATCTAGAATGTAGCTGATGGAAATAGAGTCGACTGATTAAAAGAATCTATTTTTACCAGCATCGAAACAGTTATAAAACATTAGCAGGTTCCACACATTAAACACAGATAATAGCTCAAAGTGTAAACTTGCACATGGTGATGTAATACTGCACAAATAAAAAAATCTATTAAATTCATCAACAGTCACAGAAACATTATTTGAGAAAAGAAACAGTACTACAGAAAATGGAAACACGAACTAAATTTTGATTCTAGTTAAAATATATACAGCTATGTGAAACATTTTGGTAATGTTAAGTTCGGACATAAAAGTAAGTTGGGTAGTGATCTTGGCTAGTTATTTGGTAGTTATCAGACGACCGAACCCACAACATCAATGAATATAAAAAAATCATGAATAATTCCCATTCAGGTATTAATGAAAAAAACACGTAGTTCAACAATGAGACTTTTTAGCGAATTCATTTTCTTTAGCTGTACAATCGCATTTATATACACTCTTGTTCAGGGGAGACTCAACCTGCGATATTCCTAATAGGAAATTTCTGACATCTTTGAGAAAAACCATTCATCACAGTAACACTAGGTCCACTGCTCCACAGAAGCCTGAGAAACAAGATGTCGTGTTCAACCACTTCTATGTGTATATATCAATTCACCTGTTCCTGTGGAGTCGGGTATACTATTCCTTTGGCACATCTAAAACTGTTCAAGAACACTAACCGGTATGTTTGAAGACAGACAGCAGTTGTTCCATAAGGACTGAGATGATTGAATGTCTCGTCAACACGGATCATTTTATCTCAACAAACCTCCCCTTTAAAGTAATTTGAAAAGTGAAGAATAGCCTATAAAAGACAATACGCTTTCACCTCCTCTGAATCACTGCAGCTGCCTTCATTCAAATAGAGAAGTCGGAGTTTTGCATACAAAAGGGAAGTACACAACCACTTCTACTATCATGGTAATGAAGACATTGTTTTCTAACAACCTGATTTTCATTTGTAACTCTTATATTTCTCTCGAACTCCTGCGTAATATCACAGTGTTTCTATATGCATTCCGACCGCACCTCATTCACTAAATTATTTATCTTATTACATAATTCCAACACCTTTATTCAACTCCTCTTATGTATTGACTAATATTAACAACTATGATTATGACAACTCACGACATTTGTTACTATTCTCCTTTAGGAAAAAGCCGCATATGAATGCCATCATGCAGCTAAAGAAAATGAATTTACCGAAAACAGCCTTTTCGTTGATACATTTGTTTTGTTCTTTTCATTGATACCTGGATGGGGATTACTCATGAGTCTTTCTTTATCATCGAATTGCTTTATTAATTAGTGTATTGAGTTCACAGTTCAGGTTAAACAGAAAAGTTGATAAATTCGCTTTACGCTCTCCTTTGTAAGCACAAATTCCCACTGAACAAGTAGTCGTTAATACTGTCACAGGGAAATGTAATACAATAGCCAATAGGAAATGCAAACAGCTCTAACTCCACACTTATTCATTCTCTTAACTATTTCCGTTTTACTTTTTAATTGTCAAGAAACTATTTTATTTTTATCATGAGAAACAGTACATCTTTTTCTATGAAGACACAGATCAATCGACAGGACCTCATCAAATAATATATCATATCCGCCTTTTTTTTACAGGTGACTGATTACAATGTGGTTGAAGGACATTGTCAGAATTTTCGGTAAATGAATAAGGCTATCATGTATCTCCCATTGAACTGTTGATGGCTATAAAACACTTTTGTTCAACCAGGATGGTAAGTGTTCCCAGCCACGGAAAATTATGTTCCTAGAGCAACTAACGGCCAACATAACTGGTTCCACAGGAGCAGTTGAAATGATAGATACAATAACAGGTGGCTAACCTAGGTACTTCGTCTTTCAGTTTCGGAATCACAACCGGTTGTGTGGAAAGTACAAGCTGCAACTTACCGCCATTAAACGTTCTTTGAATCGATTTTCTCAACTTGTTGGTTATTATATCGCTTGGTATATCACATCTGAATTGTATTCGAATATACCAACAACAGCACGTACGCAACTGCAAGTTGACACCAATCCTCCAACGAAAACTGAAGTCTTGAATGCAATCAAGCTTCTGAAAGCTGGAAAAGCAGCTGGACCAGATGGAATACCCCCGGAAGCACTGAAAGCGGACCCAGAAACGACAGCAGATATGCTGACTCCATTATTGCAAAAAGTCTGGAAGGAGGGAAAAGTGCCTACTGACTGGAGGAAAGGTTACCTCGTGAAACTACCAAAGAAGGGCGACCTAGGACTCTGCAAGAACTGGCGAGGAATCATGCTCCTGTCGACGCCAAGTAAAATCCTGAGTCGCATCATCCTGGAGAGAATAAAGGACGCACTGGATACAGAACTCCGACCAGAACAAGCTGGATTCAGGAAAGGCAAATCATGTTCTGACCAAATTGCAACTCTACGCATCATCATCGAACAAAGCATGGAATGGCAATCAAACCTCTACCTCAACTTTATAGACTTTGAGAAGGCCTTCGACAGCGTTGACCGCGAAGTAATTTGGAAACCACTCGAGTACTACGGCGTACCCCAAATATTCATCAACCTTATTCAACAGCTGTACGACAACGGCACATGTCAAGTGATTCACAACCGAAAACTCAGTGAGGCGTTTGGAGTAAACACAGGAGTCAGCCAAGGGTGCTTAATATCACCAATGATATTCCTAATTGTGGTGGACTGGATTATGCGTCAGACAGTGGGAAACGAGAAGACAGGGATATCCTTGACCGACGTGAAGAACCTAGAAGACCTGGATTTTGCGGATGATTTATGTTTGATGTCACACAAAATCGAAGACTTACAAGCAAAAACCGACAAACTGGTCGAAGAAGCAGCAAAGACAGGACTCCAGGTGAACATAGACAAGACGGAGGTCATGAAAATTACCAACCAACAACAACAACAGCAGCAACATCCAGCGCCAATCACCATCAACGGGAGGGATTTGAAAGAGGTTACTTCATTCACTTATCTAGGGAGCATTGTCTCAACCACAGGAGGAACGGACGAGGATGTCAAATCGAGAATCGGGAAGGCGAGAAACACATTCATCAGCCTGAAACCAATCTGGAAATCTTCGTCACTCAGCCTGCATCAACAACAAAATTCGGATTTTCAATACAAACGTCAAGTCAATCAGTTCTTCTATACGGATCAGAAACTTGGCGGGTCACAAAGAATATTTCCAACAGGTTGCAGACATTTATCAACAACTGTCTTCGTTCTATACTGAAGATCAGATGGCCGGAAAGAATCACAAACAAGAAGCTATGG